ACAGACATGAGCAAGAAGTCAGACTTTTGGTCTTCTACGGCCTATCTAGCCATAAGTTGTCAGCACCATTTAAGCAATCTCCACCATTGGCCCCATATTTCACAACTAGACCGCCATTCATCTCTATCAGCCCAAAATAGATTGTGCCCCATTTGACCCTTTTGTCCTGAGGGACTCATTGACTTGCCCCACATGGCTTGATACTGTTGAGGATTGGTCCATTTATGATTGCACCTTGTAGGATCATTTTCACCAAAAGATATTTTCTATTTTTATAGCACTTTGGAGCTACCAAGCTCTGTCTTACCTCCCCTACCAAACAGTGGATGGTGCAGTCTATCGGGGGCATAAAGCTGCTCATCCAAGAAAATGCCAGACTTCTTAGGGACCAAGTCATGGTGGGTCAAAGAGGCCTCATTCAGCAAGATGGCACTAGTCAGCTGAGCGGTTTGGCCCATCTCAGAAGACAGGCATGAGCAAGCAGTTAGCCTTTATCCTGAGTTCTTACCTCTGTTTTCAGCACCATTTAGTGGTCACACATGAGTTGGGCAGGATGACACCAGACATTGGAGTGGCTTGGCCCATCTCAGAAGACAGACATGAGCAAGCAGTCAGACTTTTGGTCTTCTACGGCCTATCTAGCCATAAGTTGTCAGCACCATTTAAGCAATCTCCACCATTGGCCCCATATTTCACAACTAGACCGCCATTCATCTCTATCAGCCTAAAATAGATTGTGCCCCATTTGACCCTTTTGTCCTGAGGGACTCATTGCCTTGCCCCACATGGCTTGATACTGTTGAGGATTGGTCCATTTATGATTGCACCTTGTAGGATCATTTTCACCAAAAGATATTTTCTATTTTTATAGCACTTTGGAGCTACCAAGCTCTGTCTTACCTCCCCTACCAAACAGTGGATGGTGCAGTCTATCGGGCGCATAATGCTGCTCATCCAAGAAAATGCCAGACTTCTTAGGGACCAAGTCATGGTGGGTCAAAGAGGCCGCATTCAGCAAGTGGGCACTAGTCAGCTGAGCGGTTTGGCCCATCTCAGAAGACAGATATGAGCAAGCAGTCAGACCTTTGCCCTTCTATTGCCTATCTAGCCATAAGTTGTTGTCAGCACCATTTAAACGATCTCCACCATTGGCCCCATATTTCACAACTAGACTGCCATTCATCTCTATCAGCCCAAAATAGATTGTGCCCCATTTGACCCTTTTGTCTTGAGGGACTCATTGACTTGCCCCACATGGCTTGATACTGTTGAGATTGGTCCATTTATGATTGCACCTTGTAGGATCATTTTCACCAAAAGATATTTTCTATTTTTATAGCACTTTGGAGCTACCAAGCTCTGTCTTACCTCCCCTACCAAACAGTGGATGGTGCAGTCTATCGGGCGCATAAAGCTGCTCATCCAAGAAAATGCGAGACTTCTTAGGGACCAAGTCATGGTGGGTCAAAGGGGCAGCATTCAGCAAGATGGCACTAGTCAGCTGAGCGGTTTGGCCCATCTCAGAAGACAGATATGAGCAAGCAGTTAGTCTTTTGGCCTGAGTTCTTAGTTCTGTTTTCAGCTTCGTTTAGGCTCTCTCCACCATCGCCCTCCCATATTTCATAACTAGACCGCCATTCAGCTCTGTCAGCCCAGAATCCTCTGCGGCCCTCGGTGGAGTTTTCATCTTTGTGAAAATTGCTCCGAAGACATAAATAAGAGGCACGAGGGGCTTCCGTATGACAATCAATATTGATAGACCTTGACGTGTTTTATGTCTGTAAGGAAAGGCACTGCGGGATGACTGGAAATCAATTTAGTAAGTCAAGCATAGCTGAGCACAGCGTATTCCATTACTAACTGCGGAATTGCGTCCCCATGCCTTGAAAATAGCTCATTTCTTTGTCCGTCCTCGGATGGGGGGTCGGCAGGGCCAGGATCCCGCTGTAAACCGCCAGTAAGCTGGCCGAAGGCAGTTGGACATTTATAAAAAAAACACCCAGAAAATGTTCAGCCTAACAATGTGTACATCTTACAAGGTGCTGCACCCATAGATCTCTACATCAGATATCCCACCAACCCTCTGATCTATAGGGCAATGGCCATAATAATGTGTCTGGCCTGTAGACTTGTTTTTTTTTCTCATATCTTTTGGTTGGTGGAGCATTTTGAGGTCTGCAGTAGGTTCAGATTTTTCTGATTTCTACAGAATCGGTCAGCTGTCTAATATTTGTGTAGCTGGGCCAGCTTCAAAGCCCAAATGGAGACATTTTTAATTTCTTCAAATATAGTAGGTGAAGTGTTAGAGACTTTTGAAAGTGACCTCACACTATAACATAATGCTTGCAATCATTTAATGGGTTCAACGTTTCCAAATTCAGAGCTAAAGTAAATGTGAAACCGGATGGCATTTAGCTTGCTCTGTGCGTCCTTAAATGGTTGTCATTCATTTTACACAAATAAAATACTTGTTTTATCCTGCGTTACATTTCGGTGCTGCTGATCTCCTGCAGCCTCTTTGCAGCCACTCCACTCCATGGCTGCATGGCATAATCAGGAGCGGACTGACCATTTGGAAACTCGGGCACTGCCCGAGGGCCTGGGGTCAGTAGGGGGCCCCATGAGATGCCCCTGGTACCTTTTTGATAGGTTTTTTTGAGTTTGAGAAAGGATATGGGCCCCATGATCCCCTATTGCCCAAGGGCCCCATGAGTTGTCAGTCCGCCCCTGGGCATAAGTAATTCTTAACAAAAGTATCAGTGAAAAATGGTCTTTACAGATGTGTAATGTGAACAAAGCATATCCCTCTATAGCAGCGGTTCTCAACCTGTGGGTCGTAACCCCTTTGGGGGTCAAACGACCCTTTCACAGGGGTCACCTAGGACCATTGGAAAACATATATTTCCGATGGTCTTAGGAACTGAGACACCGCTCCTCTATCCGTCTCCAGGCGGGTCCGCCCACATGCAGATACGCCCACATACGAGTACCTGGCGTGATGACATCATCATCGTTGACAACCCCATCACATACACCCCATACAAATACAGGTGTATGTGACAGGGTTGGGCACCATAATGTACTTATGTGGACCAGTCACATGTGTAAAGAGCAGCTACTGTGTAGAAAGCAGCTGCTGTGTAGAAAGCAGCTGCTGTGTTAGAAAGCAGCTACAGTGTTGAAAGCAGCTGCTGTGTAGAAAGCAGCTGCTGTGTAGAAAGCAGCTACTGTGTTGAAAGCAGCTACTGTGTAGAAAGCAGCTGCTGTGTTGAAAGCAGCTACTGTGAAAGAAAGCAGCTACTGTGTAGAAGAAGCTACTGTGTTGAAAGCAGCTACTGTGTAGAAAGCAGCTACTGTGTTGAAAGCAGCTACTGTGTAGAAAGCAGCTACTGTGTAGAAAGCAGGTACTGTGTTGAAAGCAGCTACAGTGTAGAAAGCATCTACTGTGTAGAAAGCAGCTGCTGTGTAGAAAGCAGCTGCTGTGTTGAAAGCAGCTACTGTGTTGAAAGCAGCTGCTGTGTTGAAAGCAGCTGCTGTGTAGAAAGCAGCTGCTGTGTAGAAAGCAGCTGCTGTGTAGAAAGCAGCTGCTGTGTTGAAAGCAGCTGCTGTGTAGAAAGCAGCTGCTGTGTAGAAAGCAGCTGCTGTGTTGAAAGCAGCTGCTGTGTTGAAAGCAGCTGCTGTGTTGAAAGCAGCTGCTGTGTTGAAAGCAGCTGTTGCTACTGTGTAGAAAGCAGCTGCTGTGTTGAAAGCAGCAGTATTGGAAGTACAACAACACTTCATGAATTATAATTATTATGTAAAATCATCAACTACTGCAAAATAATTAATCACTATGCTTTAATTATGTTCAATTTGTAACAATGAAACTACATCCTGCATATCAGATATTTACATTACGATTCATAATAGTAGCAAAATTACAGTTATGAAGTAGCAACAAAAATAATTGTATGGTTGGGGGTCACCACAACATGAGGAACTGTATTAAAGGGTCGCTGTATTAGGAAGGTTGAGAACCACTGATTTATAGTGTGTACTTGTCTCTATCCAGAGCACTAAGTGTCATTTCTGTCTGCTTCCTCCTTCCTCTGCTATCAGCATGAATCACTTCTGACAAGTTTTCCTGACACCAGGAGAAAAATGGTGACGGGAAGGAGCTCCAGCAGAGTTACAGCCTCAGCTCTGTTGCTGTGTGAAGGAGGTGTGTCGCTTCCCTCCAATCAGCTGTGAGAGCTCTCCTCACTGAGCTCTGCAGTGTGTAATTTCAGCTCTCCACCCCATTTTTTTTCTGAAGACATGCTTTTTAAATTCTGGACTTTGAACAGATGTAGAGAATATTGTGGATAAACAGGTACAACTTTTGTAGGAGGATTTGTTTCATCTCTGTGCATCACCTGATGCCGGTCACTCTACTGGCTATAGGTAAGAGTTTACAACACTTTAAGTTTGCTCTATGCGCTGCATGTGATTAACCTCTTGGCGCTGGCAGAACGCAAAAATGTGCGACCTCCTGGTGTCTGGGCCTAGACGCCAAGCGGCCGCACATTTGCGTTCTATTAAAAAAAAACATATGTGCTAAGAGCGCGCGCCCTGCTCGCTCCTAGCACACACGTTCGGTACTCGCGGAAAGGTCCCGATCTCCTCTTTTGATCGGGACCTTTCCCGATCATGTGACATCACGGCGGTCACAAGACCCTAAACCCCGCCCCGCCTCCCGGCTTCTGAAACCCTTAAAGGGCCAGGAGGCGCCGGCGCCAAGGGGTTAAACAATTACAGTTTTTCAATATAATGAAATCCTTGCTTTCATCTTTCATGCTGCTGATTTCCTGCCGCCGTTTTGACGCTACTTCCTGTCTACATGCACTCCATCGATGGCTACATAGCATTTCTCAGGACAGGTTTCCTGATGGTGACAACACTGGAACATGTTTGTTGAAAACGCCACTTGGAGTCCACACTGGAAGCCCTTTTGACAAGATGACAAGGCAGGAGCAAATTTGGGTGACCTGGACAGAGTGTTGTCACCAGGGGTGGACTGACAAATCATGGGGCCCCCGGGCAATAGGGGATCATGGGGCCCCTGTGTCCTCGCCCACACTCAAATCACACCCAAAAAAGCCTATGAAAGGTGCCAGGGACATCTCATTGGGCCCCCTACTGACCCCGGGCCCTTGGGCACTGCCCAAGTTCCCCAATGGTCAGTCCGCCCTTGGTTGTCACTCTGTAACAGGAAGCGCCTGAACACGGATCTTCACGGCAGGATCCATGCCGTTGATCGATTTTTAAAAAATGACATAAAATGACGATTACACTAAAGATGTGTGATTTTTAGTGATCAGGTTTACATCTACTTGAAAATTGTATGTATTAGGTCACCGGTCGCCTCCAAGGTAATACTTCCTCGGTCTTCTTCTAGGAATGTCACCTTCGGCCATCTTGATTGGCCAGTCCAGGGTGGTGTCATGAAGAAATCACCACTTCAGTACAGGTCTGGGTTAAAGGAACAGTCCATCCCGGAGAGGGTTGCAGTTTTTCTAAACATTACAGTATATAGTTACGTAGTTAGTCTGGCTGAAAAAAAGACAAAAGTCCATCCAGTTCAATCATAGAAAATGCCTCTAAACGCCCCTCAAGGTGAGTCTATGTGTCCTTGCGCACCTAGGCGCTTTTACAGGAGTTTAGAGGCAGAGAGAAAAAAAATCACTTGTGCGTTCAGAAGAGGAGCTTTCCAGCAGATAAAAAACGCAGGGGGTTTGGAGAGTGGAGATATACTTACCTAATCCTCCGATCCTCCAAGTGCAAGACCGATCCCTGCCACTCCTGTCACCCCCCCCCGCATGCTAGCGGTCTTGTGAATGGACTGTTCCTGAACAGTCCACCGCTGGATGTGGGGGAGTGCAGTTTTCTAGAGTATCAAAGGATCAGGTAAGTATAGCTTTTTTTTTTTATGTAAGTATAGTTTTTCCTTTTATGTAATTATAGCTTTTTTTATGTAAGTATAGCTTTTTTTTATGTAAGTATAGTTTTTTTTTTTTTTATGGGATTCTTCTTTCAACACTAGGTACGTTTAGCATTTCAGCGTTCATTCATTTCAATGGCCAAAATAAATTCATGTTCTGCACCCCATAATGACAAAGTGAAAACCGTATTTTAGAAATGTGTTAATTTATGAAAAAAGTGAAATATCACATGTACTTAAGTATTCAGACCCCTTACTCTGTACTTTACTGAAGCCCCTTTTACACCAATTCCAGCCATTTTTTGGCTTTGCACACATGGATTTTGGGGATTTTCTGCCATTCTTCTTTGCAAATCCTCTCAAGCTGAGTCAGGTTGGATGGGGACTGTCGGTGGACAAGCATTTTCGGGTCTCTTGAGAGATGTTCAGTGAGGTTCAAGTCAGGGCTCTAGTTGGGCCACTCTAGGACATTCACAGAGTTTTTCTTTCTTTTGTGTAAGTATAGCTTTTTTTTTTTTTTTTTATGTAAGTATAGCTTTTTTTTTTATGTAAGTATAGCTTTTTTTTTTTTTTTTATGTAAGTATAGCTTTTTTTTTTTTAAGTATAGCTTTTTTTTTTTTTTTTTATGTAAGTATAGCTTTTTTTTTTTTTTTTTTTTTTTTTTTATGTAAGTATAGCTTTTTTTTTTTATGTAAGTATAGCTTTTTTTTTTATGTAAGTATAGCTTTTTTTTTTTTATGTAAGTATAGCTTTTTTTTTTTTTTTTTTTTTTTATGTAAGTATAGCTTTTTTTTTATGTAAGTATAGCTTTTTTTTTTATGTAAGTATAGCTTTTTTTTTAATGTAAGTATAGCTTTTTTGCCGATCGGCCGATTTTCACGGCAATGATGGGCAAACCGACCAATCTTTTTACCGATAAAAAATCTTCGCATGAGCTGTGACCTGCAAAAAGAGGAAAAAGAAGAGAAAAAGAAGAAATAGAAGAAGAAGAAAAAGAAGAATTCCAGTCCGCTATTATATTTGACATGAAAAAGTCTTGCGGTTGCAACAATGTATCTATTTGTATCCGAATAAAAACATCTGTATCCGAAATGGATACAAATAGATACATTGTTGCAACCGCAAGACTTTTTCATGTCAAATATAATAGCGGAACTCTCTGCAGGGACAGAAGTAATTAAATGCCAGCCATAGACGGGACGAAAATCGGCCGATTTTTTTTTTTTTTTTTTTTTTTTGGTGGTCACATTGGCATATTGAACAACCGAGTTTTAATTTTTTTTGTTACCAAAACGGCCGGTTTTTGACCCATCTATGGCCCCCATAAGTCTTAGTTTATCTAACAGCTGAAAAAAACGATACACCTGGTGTTGGTACAGCTTGGTCGGCGCCTCGGTGGTGGCCGCTGTTTGTTTTATATGTTGAGTTTATTGAACATTCTCATTTTTGGAACACGCTGTCGCTTTTTTTTTTTTTTTTTTTTTGTTCCATCAGGATTTTTTGCTTTCTCCTTTTTTTTTTTTTTTTTTTTTTTTTTTTGTAGATGCGTACAAATTTCCAGAGTCAAGGTAATTAGTTCCAGTCCAACGCCTTTAACGAGTCAATGATTTTACAACTGCCAGGACTCCGGTAATGGAGAAGCGGGCGAGAGAATTATGCACCGAGGGATAAAAACGCCATCTCCCCTCTTCCCCCCCGCGCGCGTTCCTTCCATCACGTAGCCTCTTGTCATCACCTTTTTTTTTTCTCTGTAAATAGCCTGCGTTGTTACACGCAGAGACAATGGCTTCAGAACACGACGACATAAAATTCTTTTTTCCAGATCTTCTCTTCTTGTCCCTGCCAAGGAGAAGCTCTACAACCCGCCATAATTACTTGGCAGAGGGAGCGATGCCGCGCCGTTCTGCAGAGTCAGAGCCTTTTTCTTCTCTTTTTTTTTTTTTTATCCTTTTCAAGCATTTCGTTTAACCTCCAGAGCGGTGCGCACCGTTCCCTCGCAGTGCTGAACAAATAACAAACCTTAATGAGTTTACCGGTTTATTTGTAGAATGTACCTATTGCAGGGCATTGTTAAGGATTTTTGATATGGTGGGGAGGAGGGGGTTGGTAATTTGAGGACTATTATGAAACGCGGTGAAGAACACACTTTAGAGGAACATTATAGTGGAAAAGTTTTACAGATAAAATGACTCCTATTAGTGGAAACGTTTTATACATCACGGTGGTGGTTCCCAACCTTATGGAGATCGGAGAATGGAAAATTCTTCCAAAACTGTCCATGGCCTATGAGGGAACAGTAATGCTTATACCGGGACAATAAAAGTATGGGAATGCAAATGTGTATTGAAATGCTAAAAGGCTCTGGATGGGACTGAGGTGGGGGGGGGAGGGGGTCACTATGGGAGAAAATGTGGGGTGTGGAGTAGGTTAGGGGAGTCTGCAGCTGACTTGAGGCCCAAAGTCTACAATGGAAAAAAAGCATAAATTTTACTTATCAATGGGAATCCTAAACTTGGGACGCAATGCCCTCATGAACTTAACATCACATCAGAAAACCCTCCCCTTCACATCAGAGATCCCCCCATCACATCAGAGGTCCCCATTGTGTCATAGGTCCCCCATCACATCAGAGGTTCCCCTTCACAAGCCCCCATCACATTGGAGGTCTCCCATCACATCATAAGTCCCCTATCACAGCAGAAGTCCCCCATCACAATAGAGTTCCCCCATCACTTGCCCCCATCACATCAGAGGTCTCCCATCACATCATAGGTCCCCCCCCCATCACATTGGAGGTCTCCCATCACATCAGAAGGGCCCCCCATCTCATCAGAGGTCCCCCTTCACATTTCCCCCATCACATCAAAGATCACCCACATCACATCATAGGTCCCCTATCACATCAGAGGTTCCCCCATCACATCAGAGGTTCCCCCATCACAACAGAGGTTCCACCATCACACCAGAGGTCCCCCTATCATATCAAATGTCCCCATCACATCAAAGGTTCCCCATCATATTTTAGGTCCCCCACATCACATCTGAGGGTCCCCTTCACATCAGAGGTCCCCTCATCACATTAGAGGTTACTCCTCACTTCAGAGGTCCCGCATCACATCAGAGGTTCCCCTTCACATCATAGGTCCCCCCATCAATCACATCAGAGGTTCCCTTCACATCGTAGGTCCCCTCATCACATTAGAGGTTACTCCTCACTTCAGAGGTCCCGCATCACATTAGAGGTTCCCTTCACATCATAGGTCCCCCCATCAATCACATCAGAGGTTCCCCTTCACATCATAGGTCCCCCCATCAATCACATCAGAGGTTCCCTTCACATCGTAGGTCCCCTCATCACATTAGAGGTTACTCCTCACTTCAGAGGTCCCGCATCACATTAGAGGTTCCCTTCACATCATAGGTCCCCCCATCAATCACATCAGAGGTTCCCTTCACATCATAGGTCCCCCCATCAATCACATCAGAGGTTTCCCCATTACATCAGAACCCCCGCCCCACAGAAGTCTCCACATCACAGAACCCCCTCCCCTTACATCAGTGTTTGCAGTCCCCCCTTCACATTACAGCCCTCCTTTACATCACAGTCCTCTCTTAACACTCATATACTCAGTCCCACATTTACATCACAGCCCCCACCTGTACATCACAGCCCCCCTATTTACATCAATATCCTCCACCCCCACCCTTCACAGTCTTCCGTTTCCCCTTTGCATCACAACCCCCTCATATCACATTCCCATTATATCAGTGACCCCAGTTCCCTCTTAACCTCACATTCCCCCCTTTAGATCGGTCATCTCCCCTAAAACTTCAGCCCCCCCATTCACATCACAGCTCTTCTGTCACTTCACCATCCTCATAGTGCAGGGGTCAGGTGTGTGTAATGTACATATTGCAGGGAAATTTCATGTATAGAGTGCAGGGGTCACCTTTGTGTAATGTGTATAATACAGGGGTATGTATTGTACGCAGCGAAAAGGTCAAGCTGTCAGCTGTGTGTAATCTAATACAGGGGTATACACAAATACAGGGGTAATGTGTATTGTACACAGTGCAAAGGTCAGCTGTATGTAATCTATATAATACAGGGGTATGTGTTGTACACAACGCAAAGGTCAGCGTGTGTGTAATGTGTATAATACAGGGGTATGTGTTGTACACAGTGCAAAGGTCAGCTGTATGTAATCTATATAATACAGGGGTATGTGTTGTACACAGCGCAAAGGTCAGCTGTGTGTTG